AAGCCAGCCGGCAGCAGTGAAAAATAGTAACAGCCACTCCCTGTTGCTTACCATAGATAGCCAGCATTTAGTGATATACTACCACCATATATATTCTATTTAGCTTTTATAACCAAGTCATAGAGCATCAACCTTTGGAATCTGTAGTTAAGGTCAGTGCTATGGAAAGGCACATTTAAGTAAAATCCAGTCATAGTTCAAGCAATTTTAAGCTTTTCAAGACAAGATAATTTTAAGTCTTTCAAGATAAGAGAAGCTGTGATCTCTTCTACTAAATCAAAGCAGGTGCTTTTAACTCTCACCTTGAAATCCAGGGAAAACACTGTTGCACTTACCTGTAACTGTTGTTCATTGAGGTGTCTTCTCTGCAGGCACACATTGGGACTGCGTTTGCACAGGATGCTCTTTAACAGCTATTCTAATATCTTTTTAACAATCCAAGGGGAGCCCCTCCCGTACAGAGCTTGTTAGAGGCTACCTTCCCGCCTAATGGTCACATGCTCTGCAGGGAGGAGCCCCCCTTTCCCCCTGTCTCCTGAACCACCGCAAGCACCATAAATGTAATTACATAAATTAACAGCGGGGTAGGAGGGAGGGAATGTGTGCGTGCACAGAAGAAACCTCGATGAACAACAGTTACAAGTAAGTGCAACACTATTTTCATCTCCATTCTTCTGTGCAGTCCCACACTGAGAGACTACACAGCTCCTTACCTTTGGAGGTGGGGTGAGTTTCAGAGGATCAAGGAGTGCAGCATGGCTCTGCCAACTACTGGATCTTCTCGCATTCATGTCCATGCTGCTGCATGGCAGATGTCCTCCAAGGGAGTGCCTCTCTGGAATGCTAGTGACGCTACCTGCGCCCATGTTGAGAGCACCTGAAGCTCCAGAGGACATGGTAGATTGGCCTGCTCATACCCCAGTTGAATAGCCAAGACTATCCATCTGGAAGTGTCTGCACTGAGACTGGCCTCCCCTTTAAGCTACTAGAGTAGCACAAAAAAGGTGTGGGGACTTCCTAAAACCCTTTGTTCTTTCTAGGTAAAACAATGAAGACCTTTTTTCATCTAAGGAGTGTACTGTTTTCTAGGCCTCTAAGGTAGGAGATGGAAAAAATACCGGAAGGAAAATGTCCTGAGCAAGGTGGAAATTAGAGGTCACCTTAAGTAAAAAATGTAACCTAGGTGTTACGCCAACTGCTTTATTTACAGCAGATGGCTAACTAAATTTAACGTTGAGTTCTGGCCGACGTTTACGGAGGTTGTGTCTACACGCAGAGTTCCAGTGAGAGAGACGAGACTGGTTGTTTCGAAAACAAATTATCTTTTTACTGAAGGGTTTCAAAATCACATACACTCAAAATCAGACTCATTCTCGCATGCAATCAAGTTCCTTTAGCATTACAGAGGTAAATAAAAATAGTTTCTCTTTACTTGGAGGTAGGTAGGTAGGTAAACATATCGGTTTATACTTATCTTTCCAGAAGTCTTGTCTGTTGCAATGAAAAATAGGAGCGGTTGGAAAAGTAAATACCTAGGGGTTCAACTAAATCACACTGTTCCAGAACCAGCCGGTCAAGTGTGGATCTCTTTGGCTGCAGTCCAAAGAGACCAAGAGTGGACAAAGGATTATTGGATAGTAAGCTGGACAAGAGAGGTCAAAAGAGAAAAAAGAGGTCGTGGAAGGGGAAGTGGCTAGCAAAAACCTAACACATGGTCCTTGCCTTTTATACCCAAAATCTTTGGGGCAGGTGGCAACCTCGCCAGTCTGTAAACCACCTGACTATTAGTCCGTCCCATCCTATACCTCATTGGTGAGTGTAGAAAGGGGCAACACCTTCAGGGCTGGGCCAATATTCAAACACTAAAACTATCTAAGGAAAAAGCACATCTGGTCAGGTGTGAACTGTAGGCGCCAAGACATCTCTTTATTATGCAGATCGATATTGGTTCCTCCAGTACTCCAGGCACCTCCACCAGGAAATGGCAATTCATATGCAGATCCAGTCCATGCAGAACATGACATCCAGTCTCTCAGCAATGGAGGAATGCTAGTTGTTTTAGGCTGTGTTTCCTGCTAACAATGGCAACATGTGCTTCCCTTTCCCATAATGCTCAGTGGCTGTGTGTGTGTGTGTGCTACCATCATTTGCATGAGATGCAGTTTCAATACCGTCTATGTGAGATGTCTCACAACAGGTCATTTTACGCAGCTTTACCTTGGAGCCTATGGGCAAATGTGTGTGCACAATTCATATAGTGTGTTAGCATATTTCATAAGTCCATAAATAGCAAATTATCAGTCTTTCTCTCAAAACTACATGACTAGCCTGGAACTTAATAAACGGATGGTCATCCCTCAGAGCTGCCAACTCTCCCACTCTTTTGGCTGACGTGATTGCCACCAAAAACATGACCTTGAAAGACAAGTCATAAGCTATAGGAACCTAGTGGTTCGAAGGTTAACATGAGTTGGGAGAGAACGACTGACAAGGATCACTGTGGCACTTATAGAAGAGAAGAAGAAGAAGAGATTGGATTTATATCCCGCCCTTCACTACCCAAAGGTGTCTCAGAGCGGCTTACAAACTCCTTTCCCTTCCCCTACCCACAACAGACACCCTGTGAGGTAGGTGGGGCTGAGAGAGCTCTGACAGAAACTGCTCTTTTCCAAGGACAGCTCTTATCAGAACTACGGCTTGCCCAAGGCCATCCAGCCAAGTGCAAGTGGAGGAGTGGGGAATCAAACCCGGCTCTCCCAGATTAGAGTCCACGCACTTAACCACTACACCAAACTGGCTCTTATAGGTGGCTTTGGAGGGAAACAACCCGTTCAAAAACTCTTGGACGCTGGGTGAGAAAACAGCATTCTGTCCTGGATCTTGGTATGATAGGCAGATATAGTGGCTAAATGTTTCTTAAGTGAAGAAACCGCTAGACCAGATTCTTTGAGAGATAACAGATATTAAAATACTAATGCAATAGGGCTATCTTCTGTGTGAACTCCGTGCCCTGGCCCAGTTAGAAAAACGGACCCATTTACCCCCTACAAGACTTCCTAGTAAAGGGTCTACGGGACATTGGCTACTTGGTCCAAGAACCCAAACTGGGATTGTTCAGCAGCCAAGCTGTCAACTTGAACCTGTTCACCTCATGATGGAACACAGGACCCCCGTGAAACAACTCTGCAGCTAAACAAAGGTGTATGTAAATTCCCTTCAATAACGCTAGGAGGAACTGGAGCCAGACCTGTCTGGGCCAAAAAGGAATGATCAGAACACACCATGTATGTTTCATTCAGATCTTGGTCAAGACCTTGTGAATGAACCGGAATGGCAGGAAGGCATTAAATAGGGTGCCTGTCCAGCAGGTTTGAAATGCATCCCCTAGAAAGAGATGAAATATACCTGCCCTGGAACAGAATGTTGGGGCTTTTACATCGGCATGGGTAGCAAAAAGGTCAACTCCCAGAAAACCCCACAGCTAGAAAATTGAGAGAATATACTTCTTCCCCAGAGACCATTCGTGTTCTGATTGTCCCATTCTGCTGAGGATATCTGCTCTTGTGCTGGCAGTACCTGCTACATGTACTGCTTGGAGGGAGGATCCTTGATCTAAGACCAATTCCCAAATGAAAGTAGATTCCCTGCACAGGGCTGTCGAGACTGTGCCCCCGTCAGTTTATATAGGTCATTGCTATAGTATTGTCCATAACAACCTGAATGATGTTTCCATTGGTGAGCTCTGTGAACAAGGTAGGGGCATAACGTATTGCATATAAGTCTAAGAGGTTCATATGAAGACCCGTTTCCTCAGGCAACCACACATCTTGAACACAAAAAGGCCCACAATGGGCTCCCCAACCCTGCAGGAAAGCATCAGAAGTGATAGACAGCTGAGGCGCCCTTCCACCAAATGGTACCCCTGCTAGGAGGTTACTACCACACCCCCACCAGCTTAAGTGCCATGTTATGGAACTAGGAACTGAGAATCCAGTATGCTGGGAATGCGGGTGAGGGCAAAATTTATTTAAAAACCAATTTTATAAAGGCTGCATTCTTAGATGTGCATATGGGGTTGTGGCCGTGGTAGAAGCCACTATCAGCCCTAACAACTTCTGAAAAAATAAGACTGATTGAAATCTATTGTTAAACAGGCACCTAATCAACAACTTAATATGTAAGACTCTGGTAGGAAAGCCCTGGCTACTGTGGTAGACAGAAAGGCACCAGTAAAGGAAACTTTCTGAGAAGGTGTTAATCACCATGAGACGGTATTAATCACCATGTTAATCACCATGCCCAATTCCTGGCACTTTTGTATAATCAGGGAAACCTGTGACTCTAGTTCCCCGCGGGAAGGTGCAGGAGCTCATTAGCATAACTCATTAGCATATGCCACACACCCTGACATCACCAGAAGTGTGTCAGAAGGCAACACCCACTGCTCAGGCTCTACTGGACTGTTTTGGATTGCTAGCTATTGGGGGGGGGGCGTGCAGATCTGTCCTCGCAGAGGAGGTAGAGCTTGTACCTGAATAAAACTTGGTCTTAAAGGTGCCACTGGAGTGTTTTGGACCGGGGGGCTGGGGGGGGGGGGCTCTGCAGCTTACCTGGTTGCTTCTTGCTCTGACTGAGGGCTGCTGGGAGCAGGGGGGGCTTGTTGCATGTGCCCACCCCCTGGGCTCTTTACTGCCGGAGCTCTGCTCCTGTGCGCTCCTGCAGGAAATGACCCCTGGTACCACTTACTGTCTCAGTGGCATCAGTGGATTAACCGACTATGCTGAAAGACCTGGTTTTGAAAGGTCTGTTTAACAGAGCAGAGTAACAATTATCATGTCATTTAGAGTTGTAATCCAAAGGAAAATGATTATTGCTCTCTAAACTTTGGATAACCTCTAGGAGGCAGTTCCAGAATCAGCCTGGGGAATCCAACATTGCTTTGATCCCATGTTGTTCTTTCCTACACAAAGCAATCCAACCTGAGCCATTGTATTGGTCTTAACTGGATTTATTTACAAAATGCAGAAACAGTTCCAAGGTATTCTATTCTCTGACACAATGTTCTTATATACTCACTGCAAGACAGTGACATCTAAAAATAAGGGATGCTCTCTTCCGTGGCTTTGTTTGCTTTAGCGTAGTTATTCTCCGTGCCTGGGGCCAGAAGAGCTTCATCCACTCTCAGCTGCCCCGGGCTATTATTGCCATGAAAAGGAGGCCACTTTTCTCAAAGAGCAACAAGTCTGCCCCAACTGGTTAAGCTGCTGTTCCACAGCAGCCTTTGCATAAAGGGATGCTGAAAATTTTTGAAGAGAATTCAGATTCAGTTTAAATAAAGCAGATGTTATACCAAGAAGCCCACGGAGCCATGGCTTTGGCTTGAAGAAACATGTTGGAAGGAGGAAGTCAGAAGGCCAGAGGACTTCCAGGTTTCCCTCCACAAGATGAGGCGACCATCTCTAGGCCCACAGCATCCATCTTTAAAGGCTCGCATAAGATGAAGACTAGCTGAGAGGAAGGGCCTGCATCACTCGCGTCTTGCCTTCTTGTTTCTCTTCTTCCCCAGTTTTGCTTCTGCATCATGAGCTTTGCGTTTCTCTGCCAGCTTGTTCGCCTGCAAGAGACAAATATATTAGGCGATGCTTCAAAAATGTCTCTCGACACTTACAGTACAGCACGCACTCTTAAGAACATAAGAGATGCCAATGTTGGAACAGGCCAAAGGCCCATCCAGTCCAACACTCTGTGTCACACAGTGGCCAGAAATACCAGTGCCATCAGTAGGTCCACCAGTAGGGCCAGGACATTAGAAGCCCTCCCACTGTTTACCCCCCCCCAAGCACCAAGAAGACAGAGCATCACTTGCCCCAGAGTCCCTATCTATACCTTGTGGCTAATAGCCACTGATGGACCTCTGCTCCATATGCTTATCTAATTCCCTCTTGAAGCCGTCCATGCTTGTAGCCGCCACCACTTCCTGTGGCAGTGAATTCCATGTGTTAATTACTCTTTGGGTGAAGAAGTACTTCCTCTTATCCGTTCTAACCCGACCGTTCAGCAATTTCATTGAGTACCCACGAGTTCTTGCATTGTGAGAAAGGGAAAAAAGTATCTCTTTCTCTACCTGCTCTTTCCCATGCACAATCTTATAAACCTCAATCATGTACTCTTGCTTGTAAAGCAACAGGAATCAATCATGTACTCTTGCTTGTACAGCAACAGGAAGGTTCTGCGTCATCCAGTTTCGCCAGTGCCTGGTTCAAGTGGCAGGTGTGTGTCACCCAATGCATGATTTGCCAGCATTCTTTACCTGAGGAAAAGTTTTACATTTCTAAGATGAACGACAAGAGATAGCACAAGCCTAGGACAGCAGGGAACTGTACCTCGCGGATCTTTCGCTTCTTCCCAAACATGATCTTTTGGTAGAGGTATTTCTCGCGTTTCTTCATCATCATGATGGCCAGGCGTTTCTCCTCACTCTGCTGCTCTTCTGCCAACCGGTGCTTGTCTTCTTTAAGGACTTTGCCTGCTGTCACTTTCACTGGGAGATTCTGAGGAAGAATAAGGCCATGAACTCAAAAAAGTTGAGCGGGGGCTGAACAGAAAGAAAAGAGAGAGCTGGCTCCGTTTTGAAGAGAAGAGAAAGCCTAAAAATGTTCAGGTGGTGAACTCATCAAAGTATTTCCCAAGCCTATTTTACCCTGCAACTTGTTATGAGGATAAACCAAAGAAAATTTAACAGTGGCAGATAGACCAATGTGCATGTTAAAGGCAATCTGCTCATAATCAGGTTCAACAAACGTACAAAATGATGATTTGCTTTGGGTATGTGTTGAATGACAATTTGTAATGTATGTTCTTAATGCACTGAGGGACATTGTAAGGAACCCACTGTTGGCCTGTATTAAAGGCCAGATGATAAAACCAGATGATAGGAGGAAGCGGAAGAATTAGGGGCCAAGGAAGAGGAGGAGAAGCAAGAAACAGAAATAAGATAAGGAAGAGGGAGTGCTCCAGAGGAGTTAAGAGAAAAAGAAAGCAAGAGGAAGGAATCAGACAAGGAAGCAAACAGAGAGGAGAGGTGCCAGTGAACAGCTGCCGCAGAAGGCTCAAACGAACACACTGTTTGTAATAGCCAGCTAAAACCTTGAGTTGAAGTGTAGTACCTTGCTCTGAGACCTCTGGGCTTCCATCTTCTTCAGTCGTCCCTCATCTTCTTTATCGGAATCCTCCTCTGCTTCAGAGCCTTCTGATGCCTCTTCATCATCATCTTCCTCCTCCTCGCTGTCTCCTTCTACAGCAAAGAACCAAGCTGTGTTACTATGCAGGAACATCACACTCATGCTCTACTGACAAGAATATAACTGTGCAGGATTGCACTGCACATTTCAAGGCTTGATAAGAGTGTGGAGGCACACCATACCTGGTTCCTCGCCTCTCTGCAGGGCAAGTAGTTTCATCTTCTCTGGAGGTATGTAGTCCCCTTCCTTCTCCGTAACAAATGGGGAGAGGTGAGGAGGGAGCATTACACCAACAAAATAGTCTGCCACGGGGAGGCACATCCTGGCGTTCACTGAGTCGAAGACCCACTGTGGCTGGATGTAATACCTGGGGTGGATGGGAAATTGTCTAATGAGTGCCAGACTGGACAGACAGGGGAAAAAGACATTTCACTGGATGCGCCTATATAGGATGCTTCCAACAAAAATGCAGCTTTCTCACTACTCTCAGTAAGAGACCAGGAGGATGCGCATTATTGTGCTGGAAGTCAACGACTGCACCAACTGAACAGTTTCGGGCTGGGTTGCCATCAATATGCTGATGACACCCAACTGTATCGGTTGATGGACTGCTGGCCAGACACTGCCCCAAATAATCTGGCTGAAGGGTTAGAGGCTGTGGTTGGATGGTTGAAGCAGAGCTGGCTGAGACTGAATCCATCTAAGACGGAGGTTCTGTGGTGGTGGTGGGGATTCAGGGTTGGGGTGCCAACTCCCGTGTTACGAGATGGATTTATTTGTAAATAAATATTTGCTTACACAAGGTAACGCATGGACTGTGCACATTGAATTGTATACCAAAAGCCAAAGGAAACTGTTTGCAAAGAGAGAGGCTTCACATGAAAAAGGACTTGCTGCCTGCTATGTTAATGAAGCAAGCACCTATTCAGGTTTGCAAGGCTTTGTGGGTACAACACGCACATGGTTTGCCTTTGTGATCAGAAAACAACAACTAGGGATTTAAAATCCACCATTACTGGAGACCTGAGATGTCACGGAAGACATGGACTGAATTTACATTTGTATACCAAGCATCCTGTTTACAGCATCCTGTGTTCCTGGGAAAGGCCAACTTAATTTGTACTTCAAAGGGAGATGCAGGAAACAACGCTTTGCACCTAGCCGAATGGTGTACATGAGACAGAATCTAGAATTTCAACATTGCCCCTCCCATAGGTAAACCTGCCCCTTTCTTACATGCAACCAATCAAGGTTAGTTATGGGATGGTCCTACAGAAGGGTGGATTCACGAGCAGGCAAGCGCCTCCCACCTTGAGTTTTCAACTATATAATGCAGAGCACGCTTTTAATCTGTGCTGCTGGCTGGCCACCCCTTCTACAAATCCCACACCCCATCTTTCCTTGAGTAGAAACTCTTTGTTCTTGCTGGAACCTCTCTGGGATGCGCACCCAAGAGACGTCCATGCAGAACACACATTAGCTGGCTTGTTCTAAGCAATGTGAATGAGCAATTAGTCCCAGGGATCCTTCCCTCCCCCTCCAATCTTCCACTGCTACAGACAAGAACTTCTGGATCAGGCAAGTATGAACAAATACCTACCCCAGACTCCAAGTAACTAAGAAAACAATTTTATATTCTTTCTGTCAGGGGTCTTTTCGTAGAAAAAGAACTAGGGGAACTCATTAGCATAACTCATTAGCATAACTCATTAGCATATGCCACACACAGTGACATCACCAGAAGTGTGTCATAAGGCCACACCCCCTGAAATCACTGGAAGTGTGTCATAAGGCCACACACCCCGCCCCCAACGGTCCCGGCCGCCACTGCCGGCCTTGCAGCTCCACTGCCGAGCCCCATGAGGGGCCTGGCGGTGGACCTGCAAGGCCGGCGGGAGTGCAAGGAAGCCCCGTGAAGGCCCTCCCTGGCCCCAGGCAGGCAGGGGTGGGGAGAGGCAGGGAGGAAGCAACTTACCCTCCCTCCTCCTGGCTGAATGAGGGCCGGAAGCGGGGCGGCCAGAAGCAGGGGGCGGGGCTTTGTCATTTGCCCCGCCACCGTACCTCACCCGGGGGAACTGCGATCCCCCCCGAAATGACCTCCGCTTTCTGTATTCCTAAAGGAACCTTGTATGTGTGAGTGTGTGAATCTGTTTTTGTATGTATGTGCAACCAAAATATTATTTAGTAAAGAGAACAACTGTTTTTAATACAAACATCTTGTCTTGTTGTCTATCTAGGAAGATCCTCATTTCGGAATCTGATTTCTGTATACACAGGCCTGCAACCCCATTCATTTAGTCTGGCCTCTGCATAAATAAGCAGTTTGGCTAACACCCGGCTCTGGATAGTGTGCCACTAACACTGGAACCCACTGTTAAGATCTTGGGTGTGTTTCTGGATGCCTGCCTATTGATGGAGGCCCAGATCACAAGCGTTGCCAGACTGCTTTTCTTCAACTGCACCAGGTCAGGCGACTAGCTTTTCTTCAGCCCTGATCTAGCCACAGTAATCCATGCTACGGTCAGCTCTAGGCTAGACTTCTGTAACTCGCTGTATGCAGGGCTACCCTTGAGACTGACCTGGAAGTTGCAACTGATCCAGAAAGTGGCGGCTTGGGTTCTCACCAGAACCCCATTAACAGCGCATATCCAAACGGTGCTTTGTCAGCTGTACTGGCTCCAGCTTAAATACTGGATCAGATTCAAGGTTTTGGGACCAATGTACCTTTGGGATCGCCTCTTCTGGTTTACCCCCTGAAGAGCATTGCACTGAACAGAGAAATACCTACCAGTGATCCCTGGCCCCCCAAATACCCGGCTGTTCTCAACCAGAGCCAGGGATTTTTCAGCCCCGGCTCAGACCTAGTGGAACTCTCTGCCAAATGACATCTGTGCCCTGCAGGACCTAGTTCAGGTCCACAGGGCCTGTAAGAGACGTTCTGCCAGGACTATGGTTGAGGACAGCAACGGTCTTCATTTAGCCTGGCCTTCCTTTCTTTCTCTCCGCCTTGAAGTAAGGATAAATCTGATTTTTAGATGCCATCTGCAATGGTTATTGTACCTGTTTTATTGTTTTTAACTTGTTTCAAATTGACTGTATCTCTTTGAATGCTGTATACCACCCTGAGCCCCAAGTATGGGGGAGGACAGTTTAGAAACCGAATGTATAAATAGATAAAAGCAAATACATTCCCATGAGCCGTGGCCCCCGGTAGTGTCATAGCAACCAGGGGGGATGTCCAGGATATGCTGCAACTCTCAGATGAAAAGCATTCTGCTATTGTCTCGTGATATTTCTTGAATAGCACTCACCTGCCAATGACCTGTTTTCCGATATTAGGCCGGTCAACTATTTGGTGAGTGATGGCTGGGTCTGTCACATCATATGTAGCACCAATGCAAACAGACTTGTCCCATGACACTTCGCCCCCAAAGCACCTGCCAAAAAAAGACATCCTCCTTCAGTCAACCAGAAACAGCAGGCAAGCAGCAGGCTTTGCTGCCAGACACAGGTCCATTCTGCATCTGTTATTCGCTCCACACTTTCTCAGCACTCGACTTGGCTTCCCCTTGCTTTTGAATATCTGTTTTCATTGCATTGCCTTGAATCCTGGTTTCTGCAGTGGCTACCCATTAAGTCCCATGTCTGCTTGCCATTTATTTTGTTTTCAATGCTCGCTCCGGCATTGGTATGCAGATTTTCCTGTGTCAGTACTTGCCTCAGTGGTCATTAGCCGTGTAGGAGACGCTTTGGATAGTGGATCACACCAGACTGAGCCAAGTCATTCACAGCGAGGTGATAGATACAGAAGGGGAAATAGGGATGGGAGAACTGACGGATTCGAATTGGAAGCAGAGGAAGAAAAAAATGCTGCTCAAAGCCACATTCAGATACCCCAGGGCAACGCCGTACTGACTGCAAAGTTCACCCCTGAATGGCCATAAATCTATGCAGATGGTACCATAAAACCTGATGAACAAAGAAAGTGAAAGCAGCATGCAGTGTAGAGGGAGAATAACATCCCGATGTGGCTGTGGAAAAACTGCGGGGAAACAGATGGGTGCAGAATCAGCCATATACTAGAATGCCAAGGCAGAAGGAACCTTAGGATCCTGTCACTCTGTCATGAAGTCCCCAATGGAAGCCACTGAGACTATAGCATGGTTGGTCACTCAGATTTTGTTCAGGACCTTCCTTTTTGATTCTGTCCCTTTAAGTTCAAAAGACAGGGATCTTGGTAAGCCTGCTTGTGGTACAGCCGAATACCCTCCTACACATGGGTGGAAAACCCCCAAAGCAAAGCTCTACTGCTGCTAGCTGCTTGAAGGAGGGAGAGATGGGACAAAGCAATGCAGACATTTGAACCCATCCAAATGTCCTGGATTCTTGGATCTCAGTAGCTTTGGCTATGCCCCCTGAGGTCATAATGTAGCCGTTTCAAGTAACGTCTCCTAAGTTTTACACCAGCCAAGAACATACAACCTGCACACTGGACAAAGGGTATCATGGGCCATCTCTACCTTCTCATTATTCACTGGTATTTCCTGCCTTCCTTCCTCGATGAAGAGGAATTTAACACAAACCAAACGTTTTGCCATGAGCCGTTGGCAAAAAAAAAAGTTTCCTGCTTACTGTCCCAAGCCTAGACATCTGAACATGCAGACCTGGATTTAACTTCCTCAGAGTCTGCACGTGATCACGGCTTAGCACTGTTCTCCTGGTCAAGGCCTTCAAGCCTTGAAAAGTGGCTCGGTGGAGCCCTGCTGACACAAATCAACGTTCTTGCAGATAGCTCCTCTCCTTCAAAATAAGTCTGCCAACCGCTCTATCGCTTTCTAGAAGGAGCTTGCACCCTCTTCCCCATCAGCATAGGCAAGCAGTACAACACAAGACAAAAGGATCGGTACGTACCGGATAACAAAAGCCAGTGGCTCTCGAGGCACCTCCCTGTTCAGAAAGAAGCGCAACCCTTCAAAGAGCTTCTTCTGCTTCTCCAGGGCCTCCTGTTCCTTTTGCCGAGCCTCCTCTTGCTCTGTGCTCTCCTGAGGAAAGAGGCTCTGTGAGTCCTCCAGGCCACATTTCCCTCCATAACCAAATGGAACAGTAACTCAAGCCACTCACTACCTTCTTCTTCTCCTTGCAAGCCCCCCCCCCCCAACGACCAGAGGACCACTTTTCATTGCAGGTTCAAGAAACCCACATTATCGTCCACTGTCCCTGGAGTACTTACCCCCTCCACAGGAAACTCGTCCACTTTTGCCTCATCCTCTGGATTTGGAGCAACCACTCGGGCCAGACTGGCACTAAGAGCGGAGAGTTTCTAAAGAAGAAAGACAAAGTAGCCACAGAAATCTTAGTAAACAGAGCACGCAGGTGAATCAGAAGCAGAGATGTTTGTTACACCAGTGCCCTTGGGCACTGAACAAGTGGGTGGGACAAATTAAGGGGCAGAATCGGAGGCCATTTAACAGTGACAGGGGCTGCTTAGTCGAATTCCAGCAGGTATCCCAACAGTCCTGGCCTTCTCACCTCCATGTAGCTCTCAGAATCCAAGGCATATGGCTCCCCTTCCTCTGGCTTGAGCTCAACTGCAGCTTGGCCTTCAATCTAAAAGACAGACAGATGCATGGATGGGATTCCTACCTCGGCATTAATTTAATAAGTGGACACTCAAGCATGCCACTAGCACAAAGCCCTTCACGGAGATCCCACAATGAGACATCTCCACTAGGGTAACCTTTCCCTTGGCACGCTACATCTTGCAAGCAAGTCCAGGTTTCCCACCAAATGAACACAGGATCCCAGCAACCTTAACAAGAGCGATCCCTCGCTGTAGTACCAGGTTTTCTTAAGCTTGGATACTTTCCACCAATGCAAGGCATGCTCTTTAAAACTACGCAAAGAAGAATCCTGAGGGAGATGTGAACACACCACTCCCCTATCCATTTGAGGGAGACAAGAGGCGCAGTCTTTAAGCAGCGTCTGGACAAACACTTGTCAGGGATGCTCTAGGCTGATCCTGCACTGAGCAGGGGGTTGGACTAGATGGCCTGTCTGGCCCCTTTCAACTCTGTGATTCTCTGATCCTGTGAATCCTGAACACAGCATAAAGGCCATGCCACCTCCACACCATAACCCTTTGTTTAAAGCCGGGGGCTATTTCCCACAGATAAAGCAGAGAGAATGGGTTTTACAGCAAACTTACACCCACTATCACCCCTTGACATCCACGGTTCCACATAAGGGAGCTAGTAGCTCTTCTAGGTCACCCTGTTTCTCTAGCTTCCCAGCACCTGAAGCTATCATACCAAGTTACACCACTGATCCATCTAGCTAAGTCTCTGGTCCTCTGCACACTTGACTGGAAGTAAGCTCCACTGAACAAAGTAGGTCTTACTTCCAAGAAAATGCACATAAGGGTTGTGCTGTAAATACTGTCTGGTCACATGAGCTCTCCCGAGTCTTTGGAAGAGAAAGGCCACAACTATAGATTGAACCTGAACCTGGGACCTTCAACACACAAAGCTGGTGCACTCTGCCCTGAGCCATGGACTCTTTCTGGAGCTCCTCCAGCTTCCTCCACAACTCCTCTAGGGAATTCTTGTCCTTCCTGCAGCTGCACCAGGAGGCTTCCCATCCCATCCTTCTGTCAGTGCTGTCATCAGGACTGCAAACCTTTAGTGTGTCCCGTCCCCCCCTTCCCTTGAAGCAGGTTCAGAGCAGTGCACTCACCTTTGGTGGGTAGTGCAGGTTGAGGGACTGGTAGAGGCGAAAGTTGACAAAGCCAAGGAGTGTGGTATAGAATTCGGTGAAAGTGGCCATCACCCTGTAATCCACGTCTGTTGGGTGCTGAAACAGGAGAAATCCAGCTGGGTAAGTGCACAGAGACCATGCCACGCGTAAACCCTTTCTGAAAGTCTCCCAGTTCTTTGTCCACAGCCAGAATATAGCACTCCTCTTTCAAAGCACATGTGAAATTCCTCTCAAAAGTAAGGAGCTCATCTCTACTTTGTTAATAGCAGCAAAATCAGTGATAGCCACTAATTGGAAAAATTCACTTCCTCTAACGTAATGGTATATAAAGGTATGGGAGTATTATACAATGGAAAAGATAATGACTTCTGTACCCCCAACTAACAGTTATGCAAAGCAATCTATGTTTTACTCAAAATGGTTAAGTTTTATAGAAGCTACAACAGTAAAATCTTTTGTACCAGTTGCCTCTGTACCTCTTCGTTACAAAGAAATTATTGCACTTTTCTAGTTTATATGTTTGTTTTTATTTAAAATAGAATGTTTGACTTGTTATTATGTATTACAAGGGGCGGGACCCGCGATACTCGCGGGCGGGGGGGAGCTCCACACCTATGAGGAAGAGGAGGAAGCAGCAGGAGGAGGTAAGTTCCCCCCCCATCCCGCCGGTTCCGCTCTGTCACTTTTGGGGGGGATTTAAGTATCCCCTCGATATTTTTTTCAGGTTTTTAGATTTTTGTGCACACCTGGGGACTGCCCCAAGTGTGCACAGAAATCTCCCTCCCCCCCAGGTGCCCCCGATGCGCGGATTTAGGTATCCGCATGCAGGGGGCGCCTTTCGCTATTA